TTTTGATCTCTTTTTTTTAGAGTGACATAAAATTAAATAATAAGAATCTTATTAAACTGTGCATGTGAGAACATAATCAATAAGGCATAAAATTTTTTTATCACTAATTTACCACTTCAATACGGGATCTATCTAGTGGTATGATGGTGTTGTGATTAATCACAACATGGTCAAACTTTCTTCTTTTGAAATTCGCTTATGCAGACATTCCATACATATGTATTGTATGTGTACAAATACGTGATAAAAGTAATGATTATATTTGTTACCGTTACCCATATAACAAAGTAACACAACAAAATTACCATTAATGTTACCGTTAAATAAGGAAATATTACATCGTTACCCATTACTGAAAAAAAATTGCAACGATGTTACAAGTAACGACGTTGTTTTCCAATCCTGTACATGACAATAGTAAATTTCGATAAATAAACATATATATGTTCCAGGCGCCTTTTGCAAATGGGCGTACATAACGCCGAGTTGTTTAACAATCTCGGGCTTTGTTGCTTCTATGCTCAGCAATACGATCATACTATATCATGCTTCGAAAGAGCACTAAATCTCGCTACTGACGAGAATGTGGCTGACGTGTGGTACAACATCTCTCATATTGCTATTGTATGTACAACTTATCATCGTTTTAAAACATAAATTATATAGGATGGATGCCATTTCAGACGCTGGGTGATCTGATAATGGCCGAGGAGTGTTTGAAACTAGCCATCGCAAGCGATAACAGACATGCTCTGGCTTACAACAATCTCGGTGTGATAGAGATGCGCAATGGAAACGTTACCGCGGCAAGAACATATTTTCATGCAGCAGCTAACATCGCTAGTTACGTGTATGAAGCGCACTTCAATAGCGCGCACTTAGCTTACGAGGTAATTGTTTCCAATATAATGTGACATATGCCAAACATATACTACATATTTGTTCGATATACATACAGGTTGGAGACCTACAGACGAGTTATATCGCAGTACAAAAATCATTGAGTGCTTATTCTATACATTACGACAGTAAAACACTTTTACGAAAGTTGCAAAGATACTTTTCACATATATGAAATAAACAATGAAAATTTCTTATATTCTATATTGTATTATTTTTTATTGTAACATATGATTTAAACGTAATTTATGTACATAATATACAAAAGATACAAATCTACTTCGAACTTTTGCACCTTCTAAATTTAATATTATAATTAAAATTGGAATTTGGTAAAAAAAATAAATGATTACAAAATGGAAGTTTAAGAGATATCCAGATGTAACAGTTTAAAAATTAACGTTAAGTATTACTCATACTACAACGGTTTTTTTTTCTTGTCAAGTCTGTATAAATATATACCGATCTGACAAATTTTCCATTCATGGAGAAAGAATCTATTTTTGTATTGACATTAAATTTATTTGAATTGCAGTGTGCATTTAGTGAGATTTAAATATAATTAAAAATCTCTTAATAGTCATAATTGACATATTGAATGACTAATAAGGGAAACACCAGATGATGGGCTCAGGGATTTTGATGCGCTTTATACAGACTGTTTTTTGAGCGAAAAAAAAAACGACGTGTCCGGCCGTTTCAGCCATTGGCCCATAGTTTCGAAGAATTTTTTAAATAATTATTGCAATAATTTGAAAAATATACTGTACAAATGAAAATATCAGTATCTTTATAAATTTCATTTAATGTCATTAGTTTTAATTACTTTTTGATTGTAATAAAATTTCATGAAATTGCATATTAGTATTATAGATAATTAAACACACATTTATGGAATATTTATTATTATCATCGTTATTGCCATTCGATTAATGTTAATCAAAAGAAGATTATAATCATATGACTTACTTGCTCCTAATCATAATTTCCAATTTTTAATTTCAGAAATCGTAACAGTTTTCATTAGTCTTATTTATGCATTCATGTGAATAACAACGACGATGACAACGATGATAATAATAAATATTCCATAAATGAGTGTTTAATTATTATCTATAATATTAATATGTAATTTCATGAAATTTCATTACAAGTAAAAAGTAATTAAAACTAATAACATTAAATTAAAATGAAATTTATAAAGATACTGATATTTTCATTTATACAGTACGTTTTTCAAATTACTACAATAATTATTTAAAAAATCGATTT